GATAAAAGGTTAAAAAACAACACGTCATCGGTAACATATCAGTTATATGTGTATATATGAAAATCTACTGAAAATGTTTAATATACTTTTGAAGCGCTCGCTCGGAAAACCTCCGTTTATAACAGTGGCAGTGCGCCAAAACTGCTGGACGTTCTCCAAAAATTCCATCCTCGACTTCGAAAATTTACCGCAGCTGAAAATTTGAACTCCGTTGTAAGCCACTTGCTTGTCAGTTGTGTACTTCAGCTGTTTCAAGATCACTGAAAATGAAAGAACTTCAAATTGCCACGCATGGCTTATTGCCAGATTCCTGTATTTTCCTAAGGTTACTGAGTTGTGAGGTTTATTAGTTGCGCGGGTGCACGTCGGTCATCTTCTTACTTCGACTATGCTGTGCTTGTGGAAACGGCGGTTAACGGACGATGACAAATTTCTTTTTTTCCTGATCTGTTACTCTGCGATTAAAGTGATCATGAAAGGTTTTGTGGTATTTGACGAAAAATGATATAACTTCTAAGCCAAAAATATTCATATATATATACATATCCAAATTTCCTTACATTTTTTATTTGTATGCTAAGTATTTTTGTCGTTGTATTGTAAATTTCACCGTTAATTTGTCGCTGCATTGTGTTTTTAAGGTAATAGTTTTTTTTTAATGCTGGCTTTCTTTAACTGCTTGAGACATCACCCGAGACATTTTACAAAAATGACGAAATTTCCACAGTATAACCGAATACGATCAAGATTAAATCTTGTTTTCCAAAAAGCCTTGCTTTTTCTCGCTTAAACCGCACAGTCATTTCCTCAATTTTTGGACAACTTTCTGGAAGGCAGGTGCTTTGCTCATTTTAGTTTGTTATCCACATTTAAAGATGTCATCTAACAACTTAATTTTGGGTATTCTGTTGCGCTGACTTCTTTGAACATTATGTTTGAAACTATTTCTGCAGCGTTCTGAAGCACAGAGTATTCTTGTATATCGTAGGTGCGCATACTTTGCGCTCAGTACTTGTATTGAATGAAGATTTCATAGTCGCAAAAAAACGATGTAGAACCATCTAACACAGAATCAGCAAAAGTCTAGCGGGGCTTCTGCTTATTTTTCTGGGTTTTCTATTTAAATTCAAGCAGAAGTTGAAACTATTTCCCAAATGTTAGCTTCTGTTATTGTAACATGTGGATTCTTCGTTCATGCAATTTGTTTGGTTGTTTTAAGTTAGAGAGAGGGGGAAGCTGTCGCGCGGAGTTCTACTGTTGTGGTTGTTCCCTCGTATGTGCACCTACGTACTGCAAGGGTTTCGCAAGTTCATGTTAGTGCTGAAGTAAATTTGTATACTCGCTTAGTCATCTAGCGGTTTAAAAATTTTAAAAAATAGGTTATGACACTTTATAGTTATGTTTTTTTTTTTTT